TTTAATTGTCCCGGGACTCGAACCCAAGTGGCAGATCATCACAGCTTTTTTTTGAATTATCATCAGTTGTAAGCTGGGACACGCAACGCCAATAGTCAAGGTGATGAAGAGATAACCATGGCGCTAAACACATGGCCTTCACAATGATTTCAACTATAACACTGATTCTCAAGTTCATCTATTAACTAGAAAATATATGCTCATCAGATAATAGTTCAGTATCTCCATCATTCTTGTAAGGCAGTCATGGTTACGTACATTGTTAGTTTATAGCTAGATTTGGTGTCGTTATCTACTCATTTGGCTCGATCTTGGTGCCCGAATCCAGGTCGCAAGCAAAAGAGATTTGGTAGTCTCGGCAATAAAAATGTGATATAAGAACATAATTCTTTTTCGTAAGAAGAATTAACACGCCTGTTTCTTTTTTTTGTCAATCTATCAAAATAGGTTCCAAATAAAATTAAACAATACAAATGTGAAAACAAATAGGTGAAAAGACTGATTATCAAAATAATTTTTCTCTTCCGTGAAATCAATTGGATGAATAGAATCAATCTCGAACTAAAAGAGAGATTTTTTTTTTTGATAACTAATTTTTCCATTCGCCATCGTTTCGAATCTGTTTGGATATCAAATTTTCAAGACTACAAATTTTAGCTATATTTGGACATTTATTAATTCTGATTCTGATTCGTTCAGATATTTTATGGTTCGATTTGAATTTGGATACTCATTTACATTATGTAAAAATTCAAATATATCTTAAGATTCTCAAAATCTAAAACAAAAACAATATATAGCATATAAATTTGAATACTGTATGAAAAATATAAAATTTAAGATGAAAATTGGTCTGTTTGATATTTGGATGGATAATTGATAGGTATTTTGGATATTTTAAGAGTTGAGTATTTTTGGATAATTGTGGATATTTACTTTATGGAAAATTTGGCTATTTAAGACATTTTTAAATATTTTAAGTTTTTTTTTCTAGTTCATGACATCTTGGATATTTTGAATTTTTTTTTGTTAAATATAAAAAATAATTAATACTTTTTATATATATATATATATATATGATATTTTTGAGTAAATTAAATATTTTGGTTTAGATTGAATTTGGTTATGATTGTTCAAATATCAAAATTTTGAAAACATTCAGATATTTAATCACGTTCAGGTTTGTTTGAGGATCCAAATATTTTTTTGAAGCCATAGCTATAATACCATATACAAACTATATTCGTGTAAAAGTTTTATATGTACTATATTGATTAACCAATGAATTATTTATTAGGAATTCTTTTTCAATTCTTTACAATTACAAGAATAGTCACTCTACCTGTCTAGCAATAAAACATTTAAAATACACTAAAGCAAAATAATCAGAAAAATTGGTCATTCAGTATATTTTATAATTAGGTGTTAGAATCATGAAAAATTTGATAAACAATAAAATTAACTAATTATAAATTTATATCTTAATTTTTAATTTTATAGTTAGAAAATATATTTTCAAGATAACAACATAATACATAAGAATTATCATATTTTGAAAAATATACTTTTAGTAACATAAATTTGTTTAAATTATATAATATATAGATATATATATATATATAATTATTAAGAACATGAAAAATAATTAAAACCAAATAAAATATGGGAAAATTGAAAAATAAGCAAATTCTTAAATTTTATCGTAGAAAATATACTTTCATGGTAACAACAAAATACATAAAAATTATCTCTAACTTATATTATTATTACTATATACATTTTATATAAATAATAAATTATGTATAACATTATGAAAAACATGATACACAAGCAAAATTACCTAAAATCATAGAAAATTTTGATAAATTGGAAAATTCACTGATTATAATATTATATCTTAATTTTAAATCTTATAGAAGAAAATATATTTTTAAGATAAAAAATAATATATAAAAATTACCTTATTTTGAATATATAATTGTATTAATATAAATTTGTTTTAATTATAATATATATATATATTAAAAACCTGGAAAATAAAGAAAATCAATTAAAATCGTGAAGAAATTGACAAATCAACAGTTTTTAAAAATATTATAGTAAAAAATATATTTTCAAGATAACAACATAATACAAAAGAATTATCTTATTTTATAAAAATATAATATTATTGATATAAGTTCATTTTAATGAGATAATAAATTATATATATAATTATTAAAAAAACATGATAGATCAGCAAAATTACTTAAAATCATGGAGAAATAGATAAATTAACAAAAGTACTTCTCAAATAATAGTACATATACAAGCTTTATATTCTTTTATATATTTATGTATAAATTTTTGTTTTGTGTCTGGTTTCGAAATATATAAAAGATTCATTTCAGGGGTGATTGGCAAGTGCTGTAGCTTTTATTTTGTGGCTTTAGAATAGGAGCTATAGATTTTATTGTTGTAGCGGTAGATTTTATTGTTGTAGATTTCTATTAATAATTTTCACAGCACTAAATATAAAATTCTAGAAAAACGATTTCTAAAGCCATTTTGTTTCTTATTTTAATTTTGGGGTTATAGCTTTAAATAATTATTTTAAAGCATGACTGTTAAACTAAAGTGGCTGTAGAAAAAAAGTGAGATGTAGAAAGCAATCACATCACTTACCAATCGTAGCGTATGTATGAGTTCAATTTATTTAAAGTTAAAGACATATAATCGTTGTAGATTAAAAATTTCAACTAATTTTCGAATAATATGTATATATATATTTTTTCATTTATTTATTTATAATTTTTTTTAAAAAAGAAATTTCTATACTGTTTAGGTAATTTTGAGTAAAATTATATTTATGCAACTAATATGTATTTGTATTTTAAAATACTGGGAATATTTCAGTTAACGCCCAAAATAAAAATAAAAAACATACCTAAAATCTTAAAATGGTTAGTTTCTCTATTTAATATTTCAGATGTTACATTCTTAATTTTGGTTTTCAATTAAATTGTGTGCTAATTACACATAAAATATATACAAATACTAAATTTTCAGATATCATTATGAAAATTGAAGATGTATTTTAATCAAAGGGTATTGCAACAATATATATGTATATATATATACTAAATAATACGAATAATTGTTTTGATACATTATGAATAGTAGTAACAAAATAGGCAATCACTGAAAAACGTGAACAATTTTGTAAAACAAAAATACGCAAAGTCTATAGCAGAACAGTTTTAAAATGTGAAAACATGAAAATTGAATAAAACAAAAACATTACAAATATTTCAAGAACATTAAAATAATGTATGTATAACATGCATTCAAAACAAATATATTCATAACTTGTTGGGGAGTAAGTTTTGGTTTAGAAATTAGGGTCTAACATGACATAAATAAAAGGTTCAAAGCGAGCACATATCAAACTAAAGTAGTGAAAACAGATCAACATAAACTGAAAACATATCTAAACATATGGGATCATATTTGATGTCAACTACAAAAAATTTAACATTTTTCATTAAGAGTAGTTAACTATTTTCATTAAAGATTGTTAAATTTACCGAATTAAATGTTGTTTAATATCAGAAACACGATTTCTGACTATATTCACTCAAAAAAAAAAAAAGAATGATCCAAGATAAGAGTAATTATGCATATTTAACTATAATGCATATTTAAAAATAAGAGGAATGATCAAAGATAAGAAGAATTCAACTTCATATTTTAAAATTTTAGTTTTCTTCGTGAACCTCAATATTAAACTAAAATTATTGCATATTTATTTTTAAGGGTCATTCAGTAATTTTCAACTCTCAAATTATTCATAATATTACTAACAGTTGTAACTCTGTTATAACAGTAACCTCTTACTATATAGTAAATTTCCTAACCACTTTTTGGTTTAAATAAATTTTAAAATATTTTAAATTTCTACATGTTATTCTTGCGCAAGAACTATGCTAATTTTATTTGTATCCTTCCATTTTATGATATTCCAGGGGTAGTAACTACTTTTATTGTTTTATTGTTAGCCAACCAGTTTCTAGACTAATCTATGAATTTGAAATTTCACGTGGGATACGAAAATGGATATAAAAGACAAAAAGAAAGCAAATAGTATATCGTGACTTTACATGTTATAACGTGGGTTTCCGCTGATCAAGGTGATTGCAAATTTTAAATATTATATCTTTAAACGCTAAGGGGTTGATTTGGAGAGAGATGTAGCTTTGTAGAATTAAAACCGTAAATCTTATGTTCTGGCTATAAACAATTCTATTATAAAATTTTGGTTGTAGATTTGAAAAGATTTATCTTTTATTGTAGAATTAAAACCGTAAATTTTTATGTTCTGACTATGAATAATTTTGCTATAAAATTTTGGTTGTAAATTTAAAAGGATTTAATGATTTACATAAAGCAAAAAATACATGTTCTAGATTCCATTGCTTTCTGGAGTTATAATAAAGAAAAATAAAAATAATTATGTAATTTTTTACAAAATTACAAAGCATAACTGAAAAAAGTTATGCTTTAGAGAAAAATTGGACTGTAGAAAAATTTTACAACACTTTTAACGCATTTGCTAATGAGCATCTAAAACAATTATTTGAGGTATAATAAAGGGAAAATTGTCAAAAAGGGATGAAATAGCTATACTATTGTCCCCTTAGAATTTCATTTATGATCTTTGTCCTTATAGTACAAATAATAATGAATACCCCTTTTTATCCTTATTCTATTAAAATTTTCCTAATTAAAATGTTAATTATTTTGTAAATGTTTTTTAAATAAAATCATGACATTATTAAAACACAAAATAAATCAATACTTCCCTTTAATTGACTCTTGGCTAACAAAAGCACAAAAAAAAACCCTCAGCTGCTTTAATTAAAACATAAAACCATCCCACAGCTCCCAACGGAGAAGAAGGAGGCGATACACTGTCTCGCCGTGAGCAAGGTTTGTTTCCGTTTTTGCGGAGAGTTCGAAGCATGCATCACATCTCCTCGTCATCGTCCTTTCCTCTTTACTTTCGGTTTGAAGCAGTCATCACATCTCCCCGTCGTCATTGTCGGAGTTCTCTAATCTCCGATATAGCTGCTTCTCGGTCAAAAAGGTACGATTACCTACGCAATCTTCTTTGTTTGCTCTTCTTTCATCTCGATTCCCGAGTTTTAAAAACTCGAAGGTTAGGGTTTCAAAATCCCCTTTAATTTTTTTCAGTTTCTTTTCGTTTTTATTTATGTGCATGTAGTAGAAATAGTTTGAATTGTTTAGAACACAAATTGATTCACGTTTTTGGTTTTGATTTTTGTTTGTGGTTGAGTTGATTGTGAGTAGATGGTAGTTTGTTGTTGAGTTGGTTTGAAAGACAAATTTGTTTTGTATCGAGTGTGTAATATGTTTTGAATTCAAAAATCTAATGAGTTCGACATGTAAAAGAGTTCGATTTTATATCTTGTTTGGGTTGGGATTTGTTATTCAAATTCCTGTGATTGTTTTGTTGGCAATTTCACAATGTAAAGTCGATCATTATAGAAGTCACCGAGACTCTAATTTAGTCATTACTCAATTTGGTTTTGGTGGAGAGCTTTGACACTGATTTTGTTTCTTTGTCGTGTCCAATATACTAGTAAATGTGAGATGGTTATGTTTTTTTTTCTGACCATTTCTGGACTTTCTTAAACATATGGCTAACGAGTTCAAGTATCTAATTTTCTGTTTTGTAGGAATGGCTTACCAGTTTCCAAAGCGAATTCTTGAAGAAGGAGCTGAGATCCGAATTGATAAGAGCAACAACACATGTAGACGTACGATGCTTGCATTGTTAAAGAATTTTCTTAAAGATGAGTATGAAGAAGTTTTGAAAGACCCTGTCTTCGGTCCGATTCTGGCAATTGTAGACAACAAACTCATTTACTCAGAGAAGATCATTCACAGCTTTATATGCAAGCAGCTCAAGGTTTCCAAGCTTCATGAGTTGTGGTTTGAGTTTGCAAACAGGCCACTTAGGTTCTCCATGCAAGAATTTCATGATGTCACTGGGTTGAAGTTCAAAGAAGAACCAAACATAGACTTCAATAATTGGGAGGATGATAAGGGTTTCTTGAGCAAAGCGCTGAGGCAAAATACAAATATCAGTTTATACATCATAAGGGACGAGCTACTTAAGGTGTGTAACCAGTTGACATATGTGGACATGGTGAGGTTAGTGTATATGTGCCTTATACATAGATTCATCGTGGCTAAGGATCCGAAAGTCTATATCCCTCAAGAATACATCCGTTTGGTGATGGATTTTGAGAAAATGAGTATGTATCCTTGGGGTCTTCGTGCTAATGACGAGCTGATTGCTTCCATATTAAAGGCAATGACCGATTTGCATCTGAAGAACAGCTACGTTTTGGATGGATTCTCATATGCGTTTCAGATATGGATCATGGAGGAAATCCCAGACATTGGTACTATGGTGGCTAAGAAGTTGAAAAAAACGTTGTCAAGGTGAGGTGTAGAAATTGGGCAAGAAGTGGAAAAGTATCTTATCAAGCTATCATCAGCCTAGAATCCCACTTTGACAAGGTAAATACCTTGCTTCTGTTACTATTGAGGTCAACATTGTCTTTGTGGTGCTGATTGTTTTGTTTTTTTAATGGCATGGAGAGTTGTTTCCATTTATATCATCAAGTGGGAAGTCGGGTGTGATTGATGATCATGAGTTCAAAAGAGAAGATGAGAAGAAGGACGAAAGAGTTGATATGGTTGTTGATATGATCAAAGCCAATCATGACTGGGAGGAATTCGTTTGGGAAGTTGAGTCTCTGCCAACAAACAAGCTCTTTTCTGAAGAAGAAGAAGAAGACGATGTTGAAGATGAAGATGTTACGGAGCCGCCTGTTGTTGCAGAGAAGCCGACAGTTGTTGTCAAGAGGGAAAAACGTAAGCACCATGATCCTGGTGTCAAGTCTCGGAAGAAAGAACTCCTATGTCAACGAGCAGCTGAACATAACAGTGATGTCTCCGGTAAAATGAAGACCTTTATTCAGGGGTTGTTCACCTCTTTCAAGGACATGGTGCAGAAGGAGATGCAAGAGCGTTTTGACAAGGTCGACACTGAGGTGGCTAATATCAAAGAAACAATAACTCAGATTAGGGCTCCTTCAGATGCACTCGGGAAAAACACAGCAGCTGAGATCCCGACACCTTCAGGACCGATTGGGAAAGATCAAGGCAACTCTTCACAGAGTCCGGGTACTTTATCAACACTTGGGAAAGATTAAGCGAAATCATCACAGAGTCCACGTCCTTCAGCAGCAAAAGGAAGAGGCAATGCATCTGGGAGTGTGGATCCAATTGCGGTTCGTCGTAGTACTCGGTCAGTAAGAAAGGTAACAACAACATGAAGCTTTGTGAGATTATGTGTGGGTTAACTATTCCAAGTATTTTGACAAGGTCGCTATGTTGGATTATATATCTTTTGTTGTAAGTTTTTGTGTCGTTTGTATAATGTACTTGGATTGTAGGTTATCGGCTTGTAATGTATTTGGATTGTAGGTTATCGGCTTGTAAGTTTGTGTGTGGTTTGTAATGTATTTGGATTGTAGCTTATCGGATTGAAATGTATTTGGTTATCTCCTTTACATGTATTATAAGAATGTTCACTCTTTTTACTATTTATGTTATGGTTGGTTTTATTAACATGATGACTTTGAAATGTTTGAGTTTTTGAAGAATCTAACAAAAACCAAGAAACATGTAGACAATGGGAAGGGGACCAAGAGTCTTTACTAAATGCAATGGGAGATCTTTCTCAAGCATCAGATGTTAAAGGTTTTGATCCCTCACAAAATCTCAATGACGACGAACTACCGGAATGGGTTACTCCATTATCTACGTTCAAGCCTGCGGACTGGATACCACCTACTCTCAAAGATATGGAACTCCCTGAGGATCGCGTGAATGACACTGATTACAATCTAGTGTTTGTCGCTGAGGATCAATGGGCCAAAGTGACTGAGTGGTTCACAACTTCCTGGTTAGTTTATATTGTTTCTTAGTGTTAAAAAATTCGATCCTTGTGTAACTGAAGCTTGCATTCCAGGGCACTGAAACTTGGACCTACTATGTTCACAAGTGAGTTAGCAACACGTGTCATAGGACCTACAGAGTGGCTCTTCAATAAAGTGTGTTTGTAATTTGTTGCTTCTTATTTTCTTTACATCTGTTTTCAATCATTTTTTCTATTTTTTTTTAGGAAATTGATGCTATGATGTATGTATTCCGTGAGAGGACTTCTTTGCGACGATGGCGTCCAAAAAGAGTCGCGTTCATGACCTGCTTGTTTAGTAATCAAATGAAAAACTCTTTCCAAGAGTTCAATAAGGACGGAAGGAAGTTCAAAGCTGGAGGAATTCTACATGAGTACGGCATTGGGGAGCTTCCAGCACACAGAAGGACAAGAGTAATGTGGGATTTGATGTTGACCGCATGTATGTGCCCGTGAATGTTGGTAAACATTGGCTCGCTTTGTGCGTCGATTTTGTCACTCGTTCGATAGAGGTGTTTGACTATGAGGGAATGAAACATCCAAGATCAGTGGAGCCATTTGTTGTTCTTATCCCTAGAATTGTCAAAGCTGTTCGTCTTCAAACAGTCGGACGCACACGGTGAAGAAGTATATTGTCACTTACACTCCAATGCCCTTTGTTGTAAATCGTAGTGGCACTGATTGTGGAGTATATGTCTTGAAGCACATAGAATGCCATCTTCTAGACTTGGACATCTCTTTGGTGAATGATGACAACATTCGTGAGGCACGGTTAAAGATTGCTTATGATCTATGGAAAGCTGCTATTGATCATGCGCTTATTGCGAGAATGGCACAATTCACTCCTCCAAAGACTAATTCAAATTCTCTAGTGGAACTTGATTGAATTGATTACTTGTTTAGGAAGAATGTTGTCATTTGCCTATTATTGCTAGACTATTTGAAATATTTATTGACTAACCTCTATCTATACCCTAAATGATAGTAAAATTAGACATAAACTAACCCCTAAATGATAGAACCCCTATCTATACCCTAAATGATAGTAAAATTAGACAAATGTTTATTTTAAAATTTATACCAAATCAAATGTTTAAATGTTTTTGGTTTTCTGCAAAAAAAAACCCTTAATATGTTTTTTTTTGCAATTTAATCCACCAAATCAAAAACCTACGGGTCAACCCTCTAAATCTCAGTCAAACCGCAATATAGACCATCCGTGTATTGATGACATGGCAGCCATTTACTATTTAACAGAATTCAAAACTACGTCGTTTTGATATTAAGAATTAAATTAAAAAGTTGAATGAGAAGCTGATTCGAACCCAGCAACACAACACAACTTGTGATGCTCATAAACCAACTCGACTATCAGATATATTCGTAGATTATTAAGACGAAACCGTATATATAAGAAATTGTTGCTGTGACCTGAAACATTTAATTAAAAGAAGTGAATGTGCGGGTATTCGAACCCATTACCATGGCCCAACTTATCAAGTAAGCAAACCACCTCGCCCGTCAGAGATACTAGTTCATAATAACGACGGATCATATATAGATGTGTTTCTGTGGCCTGAATATATACAATCATCGAAACTTCTTCTCTCTCTTTAATCTTTGCTTCTGTGACCTGAAATAAAATGATAATCAAACAATATAACATCTTACACATATACACACTTAGCATCAAAAGTCTTACACATAAATTTAATAAAAGTTTTCCACATAAATCTAACAAAAGAAACACATAAGTTTAATAAAAAACACATAAGTTATAAAGTCCAACAAAGATAGAAGAAGCACACTTCAATAAGAAAACATAGAACTTATGGCTGAGATAATAAAACACCTTCTGAGAACTTCTTCCTAGGCCTTCCAGGTCCTCGTTTTGGGAGTGCAGATGAAAGGCTAAGGAAATCATGTATATATAAGCTTGCGTTTGTTAAATTAGCGAATGTATCTGATAAGCGAGTTGGTTTCGTTGCTTGATAAATTGAGCTGGGGTTACGGGTTCGAGGTCCCACAAATTTAGTTTTTTAGTTAAATATTTCAGGTCACATCAACAATTTGTCTATATACGGTTTCGTCTTAGTAATATACGAATGTATCAGATAGTCGAGTTGGTTTCCGAGTATAATAAGTTGTGTTGTGGTGATGGGTTCGAATCCAATCTGATTCAGTTTTTAATGTAATTTTTAACATCAAAACGACGTAGTTTTGAATTCTGTTAAATAGTAAACGGCTGCCACATCATCAATACACGGATGTCTATATTGCGGTTTGACTAAGATTTGGAGGGTTGACCCGTGGATTAAATTGCAAAAAAAAACCACATTGAGATTTTTTTGCAGAAAACCCAATGTTTTTCTATTTATAATTAAATTAAAATATAAAAAAAAATGTTTATTATAATTGTACTAAATGATAGAATCCCTATCTATGCCCTAAATGATAGTAAAATTAGACATAAACTAACCCCTAAATGATAGAACCCCTATCTATATCCTAAATGATAGTAAAATTAGCATAAACTAACCCCTAAATGATAGAACCCCTATCTATATCCTAAATGATAGTAAAATTAGCATAAACTAACCCCTAAATGATAGAACCCCTATCTATACCCTAAATGATAGTAAAATTAGACAAATGTTTAATTTAAAATTTATACCAAATCAAATGTTTAAATGTTTTTCTACTTATAATTAAATTAAAATATAAATCAAAACAAATTTTTATTATAATTGTACTAAATGATAGAACCCCTATCTATACCCTAAATAATAGTAAATTTAGACATAAACTAACCCCTATCTATACCCTAAAAATCTAATCCGATTAAAAGCTGTGTTTGCCCTAAACAAAAGCTTATATAACCCCCCCCCCTTTAACATGGACACATACACTATAGGCCCTCAAAACCTAATCCGATTTCATCGGCTTCTTCTCTTATTTTTCGTAAAATTCTCTCATACTGACTACACAGCGACGAACATGTATATCAGTGAAGGGATCCCTTCCAGATGCTGGTGTGGGAAGGGGATTGTCACTTATGTTTCTAAAACGGAGGAGAACCCATACAGAAGATTTTTCATATCTGAGATTGGTTTAAAGGTAGATCTGATTTTTCAAATGAAACCCGGTTGAACAAAACCAAAAACCGATTGGGACTCCGAATACCCATGCCTAATCAACACGTTAACGTGGGTGTAATAAGTAAGGTAATTATTCTTTTTTCATTAAGTAAGTCTATATCATCTATTTAGTTTTTGTAACATGGAATCCCAAATCTTATATATTAAAATAGAAGTCACAACCTTTATTCATGTGTGATTTTTTAAATAATGGAATATCTCTAGAAAATCATATTTCATTTATTCTCATTAACATGTTGGCATAATTAAGATATCATATCTTATGCAATCAACACATATAACAACTTCACCTATAAAATTGTTTTTATTTTATTTTTAACTTTATAAATTCTGTTGAAAAAATATAATAAAATCTTATAAGAAAATTTAAATATATTTATATAATAATTCACTAATTAATTTTGTAATTAGTACTATAATTTATTCAAATCAATGTAAGAAAATTTATTATAAGAAATTATGATATTTTAATAAACTTTCTAATTGTAGTATATATTATACTAGAATAAAAGTACTATATGAATTATTTATTAAAAATAAAAATAAATTAACTTATTTTATTTTTAAAAATCTTTGATTATAAATAGGATTCGCCATTAAAAGGAGTTTAACATTAACCATGTATAAAATTGACTAAAATAATAAGTCTAAACTATTTGAATATAACAACATATTTTTATAAAATCCTTCTATACACCAAATTATAGATGATAAATTATATATTTTAAACATAACCAGGAAATATAAATGATCCTAAAAAAATATCTATTATATTGTATAGTTAAATAAATTTTAAAAATATTTTGCATGCAAAATGTAGAAATAAAAATATATATTAATTTATTGTACCGAACTTGAAATTGAATTATTATGTAATAACAATATATAAAAAGTAAACATGTTCAAAACTATTTATATATTAATAATTTCAAATAAATAAAATAATAAAATTATAGAATTACATTATATCTTATATATTAAAATAGAAGTCACAACATTGATTCACGTGTTATTTTTTTAAAAAATGGACTGGACTATTTCTTAGAAATATTATCAAGATTATCAAATGTTACAT